TTTTCTAAGCATTTTCACATCTTTTATCTCATTTTTGACTTGATACCTCTATAAGGTTATAGGATGATGGCTTGATATCTTTATTTATAGAGAAAAGTGACTAACGTACAATTCTTCAGGTTTCTTGATTGAATCCAAAGCCTTTCTCCTAGGATAATTAGTTGTATTTCTTCTTACCTTAACTGTCTAATTCTTTTCCTGCAGGACAGTTTTTTGGTTCATTGTCAACAGTAATAGCAGTATATAAGCATTTAATTGGACTTTATAGAAATAACCTAAATATAGAAATCTTGAAGCAGGAGCTGACAAGTGTGAGGAATGTCCAAGAATTGGTTAGAGCACTTAAGTTATTTTATATCTGTTTTGCCTTTTCTTCAGGGAAGAATACAAATAATGAACAATGGGAAATTAAGAAAATGTATTTTTCTTATTCTTTTTTTCCTTCTTTCTTTCTCAGAACCTAATTAATATTAGGTGATTCCTCTTGCCTTAGAGTCTTCGGGGAGTACAGGCATATCTCATTTTTTGTTTTGTTTTGTTTTAAAATAAAAAATTGTGAATTTATTCAAAACAAAACAAAATACATGGTGGAGAGTATTTTTCTTAATTAAAATATTCTTTTTCTCACTTAGGACCAAATGGCTCGGAATCCAGCTGCTATTGACATGTTTATCATAGGTAGGAGGAAAAAAAAGTTTTATTTTTTCCTTTTTCCACCTGTCAAAAATATTAAGTTGGTAGAAACATTTTAATTACTTAACCAGCTGGCAATTTTATACTTGTATTTTTTAAGGCTTGCTGGTTTAAAAAGTACTATATCTAGGCACTCGTTAGAACAGCCCTTATACTTTATTGAATTTGGTTTCTATTTGGAAAAAAGCCATGCCCTATACAATTTTGTGCTCTTAGGACTCTGCTATGGAACACTAAAATGTATAGAATTAATATGAGTAAGTATATAGTTCCCTTACATGCACATATATTTTCCATCACTCATATTAATACATAATTAGAGATGTTGATATATAAAATTACTTTGTACTTTTTCTTTTTTTTTTAATGTTGCATTTTTTAAAAGATTTTTAAAATTGGTTTTTAGAGGGAGAGGGAGAGAGAGAGAAACATCAATGTGAGAGCGAAACATCGATGGGCTGCCTCCTGCTCGCCCCCTTCTGGGAATCAAGCCCACAACCCAGGCATGTGCCCGACTGGGAATCAAACTGGCAACCTTTTGGTGCATGGGCTGATATCAACTGAGCTACATCGGCACAGGACAGGACATGCCGATGCTATAGTAAAATACTGATAAATAACACTAGATACCTCAAAACAGCAGTCTTTGGAAACCAGTATAAACTGGGCTTCATGAACTCCTGGGCACAACTAGTTTTTCTAGGCCTTAAAGGGGTATCTCTCAAAGGATTTGAGGACAATTTAATTTATATGCAAGTGCTGCTCACCTCTTTGCTATTTGTTAGTCTTGTTTTGCTTAGATTTTGCTCACTTAAGAGAAGCTTGCTGACTATCCACTCAGCTTTTTAAAGGCATTCCTGGCACATGTCAAACATCCCCAGGGACTAATAGTGAAGGGGCCTTGCAAGCTAAGGCGTCTGTATGTAATTATTTCTCCTAACTGGAAGCTTGAACAGAGTCTGTACTGTGGCATATTCTAGATTTTGTGGCACACTTGACAATGTCAAGTCCTCACTCCTACGTAATAAATTATAAAAAGCTTTGACACTTAGTCCCTGACTGTCAGCTTACCCTGACTCACGTGGTCTGTGGTTTCTAAGTTAGTACTTGCTGGGTTTTGCTCCTACTCAATGCCCACTTTGGCCTCTTCGCATAGCACACACTTTAAGAGGTGACCATCATGGCTCCTGTGCATGGTGCTACTGAGTTTATGCACCAAAGGCTGCCTGAGCTCTGAAGTAAGCTGCCTGCTAGGCTCCTGGAGTTTCTTGCTCTCGGTATGGTGCTGGTCTGACATGGTTTGGAAGAACCCACTGCTGCAGCAGAATACTAAGGTCTGATAATACTATTCTGGTAGTTGGGATTTCTCCTGGAATGAGAGAGCAAAGCGAAAGATTTGAGCTGAGATGGGAAGTTAGTGCTGGGAGGAAAGATGAGAAAGCAGTTCCTTTAGGCTGCCTTGATAAAGCCCCAGTGCTATCAAAGAAGCTCCAAGATGCAGACTTACTTTAAAGGTGAGAACCTTGAACATATAAATTACATCTTGATTCAAATAAGTTTGACTTTCTTGGAAACTGTCCTCATTTTAAAGAACACACTTTGTTCTAGTATGTATTATAATAAATTTAGGTTCATTGAAATACACTACGCCAATTTCTTTTTTATGTAAACCATGAAATATGAAAAATGACTTTAAAACTCTACAGGAAAATTACTAGTTCTCCTGACATAAAATTGCACCTTCTTTGAATTGTAATGCCTTTGTTAATGTCATTAAAGATAGGCTTCTTAATATCTTGCTCCAAGTAAACAGATGATCAGTGCTTATTTTGAATACAATAACATTTAATAAATAGGGAGTTAGAATGGGCCATTAGTAGACATTAAGAACCAACTATTGTAGTGTACTTTCTCTCAATTGAGGCCCTTAAAATTTTAAAGCTCTGTACCCTCAGACCCAAGCCTAAATAGTATCTTCTATTATTCTCAGAGCAGAATATGAAGTAAATACTGTAAATTTAGCATCTGACGTTTAGCATGGGGGAGTATAGGAACTGGGTTGAGAAAAATAAGATTACAGAGAAATGCATTGGGCATCACTGGTTAAGGGACTAATGTATGCTAGTCACTGAGATGTATTAACAGTAAGGGGATCTGAGAAAGTTACATTGTATTACCTAGAGGGGGCAGGCATAATTTATGTAAATGCTTGTTACTGTCCCAATCACTAGATCACAGATGTATGGTCCGGACTGGACTGTTCCAGTCATTCTTTTCCGCTTCGAGCTGCTCACTGAGAATATGGAGGACCGCTGTGCATTTGAATCTGTAGTCACCTCAACTACTTTGGGATTGGTCTGATGCCCACAACTCCTGTTAGATGTCCAGACTGAGCATGAGTCAGTATGTACCTGGAGCAGGGGTATTCCCTGACTGTTCGAGGATAGGTGCTGATATTGTTCCTGTAGTTTCTTCCTAGATGTAGCCATGTCTTCTTTGTTCAAGGAATTACAGACAGAAAGCTTTTCATTCCTGTACCAGGGCAAAGTAAAGTTTAGGAATCTGTTATTTAATTATATATAAGTGTAAAAAGTACTTTGAAGTTAGTTGGAGGATTCCCTAGCAAGGTTGTTAGGAATAAGAGGGATAGAATTGAGACTAGAAATTGTCCTAATAAAGGACTAGAGAGGAATTATATCTATAAATATTTCTGGGTTTGATATCACACCTTATGCAAAGAGAAATTACAGTTGTTTCCTTGTTCCCTGCATGGATTTTACAAAAACGATTTGTCCTTTCCCCCCTTTTCTGGTTTACAGGTGCTACTTTTACTGACTGGTTTACTTCTTATGTCAACAGTGTTGTATCAGGTGGCTTCCCTATCATCAGAGACCAGATTTTCAGGTATTTCACTTGGGGCTTTTTGGAATGGAATAATTGTAATAAGCAAAAATCATCAGTTACAGATCATGAGATGAAGTTTCCCAGGAAGGTTAATAACAGAACCTCTCATCATCATAAATCTATTCTATTCTCATTTTAAGGCCAAAACATCCAAACACTTGAACAGCCAGTATTTTTCTTATTTTGAAGAATCAAAAGAAAAAAACTGATTTGATGTAGAAATTTATATATTTTAGTATTTATATAGTTTCTTTTTAGGGAAAAAAAGCTGTTTGCCAATTAGTAGATTTAGTATGAATAGCAAGTTAGTAACTATTAACTCCTAGCAAATATTTATTATCTCTAAATGGAACATCTAGATATTATAGATAGTATTAGAGGTCATATTGGCTTATAGTAGCCTGGTTGGCAGAAATGACAGATTAAATATACATTAGAGGCCCCTATAATAGTATACTAACACATTTTTATTATCAGAACCACTGTTTGTAGGTATAGCTGGGTTTTCAGATGGTCCCCTAAATTTCCTCAACTCTGAAAATGGAGATAGACTCTTTTTAGTTTCCAAGTAAATTACTTTACTGATCTGGAGTCTTCAAAGCTTTCTGTTTTGCTTATGATTTCTAGTTTTCTTCTAAGCTTAATAGGACTATACCTTTAAAATCTCAACTGTGATTTAAATTTTCAATCCTGAGCTATTTTGCATTGTATCTTTAAACCTTTTATCTTCTAGAATTGAGGTTAGTTGACTAAAAAATGTTTAATTTTTTTATTTACCTAGATATGTTCATGATCCAGAGTGTGTAGCAACAACTGGAGATATTACCGTTTCAGTTTCCACGTCGTTTCTGCCAGAACTTAGCTCTGTACATCCACCCCACTATTTCTTCACATACCGAATCAGGTGAGAATTTCAAAGGGTTGCCTTTCAGTTAGTAATGGGCTATATCCTCCGGATGTGTTATTATTGCCCCATTTGATATAAGATATAAAACACATTTTGAAAGGCAGCTTCTTGCTGATACAGAGGAAGGTGGGTTACAAAGTTTCTACAGTATAGTCAGGTTTTTTCCCCTGCTTTTACTTTTATTTGTATTTATTGATGCTGAATTTACTCTGGGGCCATAAGTTTTTGTTTCTCCAGGGTCTTCTGGGATATTTTTCTGGTTTAGGAACAAGCTGCTCTTTTTCAGTAGGATCATCTCAGTGTGGCAGGGAGAGCTTATGTGTGGGTTAATCCGCCCACAAGCGCTGTAAATTCTGCTCCACGTACCTAGATGTGCTCAATGACCAGAGAATCTACATCTGCACCCTTAAGTTCAGCATAACTTCTGCATTTTTAAACGTGTAGCAAAATTCAGCACTTCTCGGCCATGGATCCCGTGTGCAGCCCCACTGTTTGGCCTGGGCACACCTACCAATTCCACCATTGTGATGACGGAATGGCACACATTGCTTCTGTAAAGCGGCATTCTTCAGATACTTGGTGGCTTTTAAGATATGCATACCTTTTGTGGCGTGAGCAGTTTCACGAGTATTATTAAAATGAACACGAAGATTTTAACCTTGATTTGCATGATTTTGTGGGGGTTTTTTGGGTCAAGTGAATAATGAACCATTTTCAAAGGTCACTTCAGGCTGCTTATGGGAAGAGTGAGTACGATATAGTTTATAAAATACCTTGAGTTTATATTAACCCCTGAGTTGTTTCTTGTAAATACAAGTATTGTGCCAGGTACTTTTCAAGGTGGACCACTAGGTTGTAATCATATGGAAAGGTCAGAATTAGAGTTGTAATGTTTTCGGAAAGCTACCAAATTGCCCAAGGTAATATCATGCTTTTAAAATGTAATCTGGTCTGTGTATGTTCAATTAAAAGTCTAGTACATATTTATTGAGTGCTGCCTGGATATCAAACAGGGTGTTGAGCCCTGGATTTGGTGAAATAAAAAACAAATATTACCTAGTAAATTCACTTTAATTAGAAGTACTCTCTGCTATGACATGAAGACAACTCATTGATCAAAGGGACTAAGGATACTTTGTCTTGAGATATATTTTTATATACTTTATGGTGTTATATATAGGAATGTATACTTACCAGAAGCATCATAGAATTTTAGTATTGTATGTAGCCTTTGACATGTCTAGTTACACATGCACAGATGTTTGTTGTTTAATTTAGATCTTGCCTAGGACTGAGACATGCTTAATTAATGATACCTACATATGTTTGTAGAGTACTCAAAATGAAAATAAGAGACCGAAGATTCCCAGAGGAAGCGGGGGAAATAATAGTATTGGGAAGCAGAGTTAAGGTGATTCCAGTAACTGAGTAGTGACATTTCTTTTTTTTTTTTTTTTTAATATATTTTATTGACTTTTTACAGAGAGGAAGGGAAAAGGGATAGAGAGTTAGAAACATCGATCAGCTGCCTCCTGCACACCCCCCACTGGGGATGTGCCCGTAACCAAGGTACATGCCCTTGACCAGAATCGAACCTGGGACCTTTCAGTCCGCAGGCCGACGCCCTATCCACTGAGCCAAACCGGTCAGGGCTGAGTAGTGACATTTCGCTTTGAGCTTTGTATATAGAAGCTAATGGAGAAAAGGGAAATGGGTTGCATAGCCTTGTAGTGAATAAAAGACTGTCAGTTTTTTAGAACAGAAGTTTTTCATGGCACTGTATTCTAGAAAGCATTTCCCATACTGATCTTTATTTGAACAACAAAAGAGTGTTGTAAGCATGGAGTTTGTGAATTTTTATGTTGCCCTTTCTATTGTTGATCCTCACTGAAATCAGGCTCGGAAGTTGAATGAAAGCATTCTCATGGGGGAGTTAGCTAATCGGGCCAATATCTTTGAGAACTTCCGGAAATAGACGATGAACACAGACTTTGGGGTGTGTTTCTTAACTTCCTTTGGAAATTCCCTTTATGTTCTTTTTTTTAAAAATCAAGATTTTAAAAAAAATATATTTTATTGATTTTTTACAGAGAGGAAGGGAGAGGGATAGAGAGTTAGAAACATCGATGAGAGAGAAACATCTATCAGCTGCCTCCTGCACACCCCCTACTGGGGATGTGCCGGCAACCAAGGTACATGCCCTTGACCGGAATCGAACCTGGAACCCTTCAGTCCACAGGCCGATGCTCTGTCCACTGAGCCAAACCGGTTAGGGCTCCCTTTATGTTCTTAACCCAAATGTTGTAGCTCTTAAACAAAAGAAACAAAAAAAGGCCTGATTTGTGTCTCTACTGCCCCATTTCCTTCTCCAGGATTGAAATGTCAAAGGATGCACTTCCTGAGAAGGCTTGTCAGTTGGACAGTCGCTATTGGAGAATAACAAATGCTAAAGGTGATGTAGAAGAAGTTCAAGGACCTGGAGTAGTTGGTATGTAATGCAAGATTTAGTTTATACATCAGTTGCATCTAAGAACTTTTGGAGAGCATATATATGGCACAGCTTAGAAATGCATGATGATGTTGGTGGATATGACTGCATCTTTTTAATAGCTGTGTTTACAATGTGAAAGGTATCATAGATTCTGGGTTTCTCCTACTACAATACTTTGCTTCACAAATACAATGTGTAAATGTCATTATTCTATCAGTTTAGTACCTTTAAACAGAACTTTTCTAAAATTATAGCACAGGGATTGAGTTTACATTCTGTGAATCACCTGGGTTCCTTGCTTTTCCTTCTTAAGTTCTTTTCTTTCCCACTGAATAATTATTTATTGTAATATTTTGTAGGCATAGAGCAGAAAGAGAAAATAAATTTTATATCTGTCATCTTTTGCAATTTAGGGGAGAAATGTTAAAATTAATAACAGATTTTTTTGTTTGTGGATTTCAATCATCTCTAGCTTGATTTCCATTGACATTGTAATTATCTTAAGTTTCTGAACCCTTAGACTCTTCAGATTTTGTATTAGTGCTTCAGAAAAATAACATTAAATAAGCTATTAAATAAGCTATGTACTTCTGTTATTGGTCCTAAGCATGTACACAATTCAGTTTAGATTAAAGTTGCTCTAATTTATTGCCATGAATAAAGTCATGTTCTGCATGTTTGTTTAAGGAATTTTTCCTGAATTTATTTGGGGATCTAGTGCTAAACAATTTTATTAATGCTGTATTTCTTTTTCAGTAATTTGGTCCCTTGGAGTAAGGACTCTCCCTTGTGACTGCCATTTTGTCTGGGCTAAATGCTTAAGCTGCATGCTCAGAATTTTATGTTTTAGCCTATTGCTACTTTTAAACATTTAGATTATCCTTATCACTGTTTAAACTAGTGTCTGTGACACTTATTACCCATGTCTTAAAGATGGTCTCTAAAATGTCTCAAAGCATTTTGAAAAAAAAAAAAAAAATTCTTTTTTTATTTTGCTTCATTCTCCTAGAATTCCCCCACCCTACCCACATACCGCTATAGAGAATTAGAGGGACTATGCAAAAAGTCAAAATACTCGTAATCCCATCACTATTAACATTTTGTTGTGTTTCCTTTTAGATTTTGTTTGTAATTGTGCATTTACTTTAACATAGTTTACATACTCCCGTAGAGGACATATCTAATTTGCTGTGATGGAGAACTGAATTTTATGCTTTAATTAATTGTTACTGTTTTCCTGCAGGTGAATTTCCAATCATCAGCCCTGGTCGGGTGTATGAATACACAAGTTGTACCACATTTTCTACAACATCGGGATATATGGAAGGATATTATACTTTCCACTTTCTTTACTTTAAAGACAAGATCTTTAATGTCGCCATTCCCCGGTTCCATATGGCATGTCCGACATTCAGGGTGTCTATAGCTCGATTGGTAGGTTAAATTTCCTCTGGTGCTGATTTACATAACTTTTTAGAATTGACTCCACAGAGGGTCTTTGTTGATTAGCCAGACAAATAGTTTATAAATTGTGTTGCAAAGAACCCTAGGAATTTTGAGGAAGTACCTTGGGGTGGGTGGGATATGTGAACATGTGGGGGGGAGGCAGACAAGAAGTAAGTGAGGCTCTGTACTCTTCAGTCAGAGTAACTCTGCTGTTACCTGATTTTATTAGTTTGTTTTTAATAGCTTTATTTTTTAGAGCAGTTTTAGATTCCCAGAAAAATTGAGCAGAAGGTACAGAAATTCCCCATATACCCCCTACCCCCACACAATATTTCCCACTAGAGCAGTGTCAGTGTCACAACTATGGGGCTTACACTGACACATCATCATCACCCAAAGTCCATAAGTTACATTAGGGTTCACTCTTATTGTTTGGACAGATGTACAATGACATGAGTCTACCATTAGTATTCTATAGAGTAATTATTCGTTTTAAATACGTTTGTTGCCTAATGAGAAACACCACACTAGACCAGTTGATATCTGCGCCTTCTTTTATTTCATTAAGACAGGGAAAACAATTTCTTACAGTGTTTTTGCTAAAACTCCCATTTTGTAAAATAATACAAATATCCTATAGAAATTATTACAAAGGATTTAATGGGTAGATTCGTACTTTTACTAGTCTCTCTTTGGGATCATTTCCTAAGTCAACTAGGTATATTTTTTAAATCTCATTTTTAGGGTTACCTTAAGGCAGGTTTAGCAGTAACCCCAATCTTACAGGCTATAAAATGATTAGAGAAAATTATGAGGCTCTAGTTATACAATAGGAATAAAATGTGAATTGTATACCCAGAATGTAATCAAGTTGTAGGCATCAAATGTTCACCAAAACCCTCTGGCTCCTGGGTGACCCTGATGGGAGGCTCTAACATAAGTCTGGGAAGATGGACATGATATGAAGCTGACCCAGAGTTGACACATTCACAACTCCAATTTATAGAAGGAAGGATGATGATGAGACTTAGGCCTTCATGCTTGTGGTATGTCTTTGGAAAACAATCTACAGGCTGGGTTTGGAAGTGAAGTTTAGCTTCCCTCCCAGTGGAGGAGTGCTTCCTACTGTTTATTTCCAGTTCTAGGAATTTGCTACTTATGGCAGTCTCCATGCTGACCAGCCCAAATTCTGTATGAGATTGTAATTATCCTTAAGTGTTTTATATGATTTATCAGTGAAGTCATCTGGGGCTGGAATATGCTTTGTGCAAACATTTTGAAATATTAATTTCTTTAATATTTATATTTTCTGTTTCTTGTCCACTTTTGCTAATTTGTGTCTTTTGAGGAATTTGTCCATTTTCTCTAAATGCTGAATTAATAGGCATAAAGCTACCTAAATATTGATAATCCTTTTAATGGCTGGAAAAGATATAGTCATATGTCCTCTTTTGTTCTTCATATTGGTAATTTATATCTTTTGTTCATCAGTTTAGCTAGGGGGTTATCACTTTTATTGATCACTTAAAGGAACAATTTTTTACTTCACTGATTTTCTCTATTGTTTCCTCATTTCTATTTTCATTGATTTCTACAGTTATCTTTATTTCTCCTTCTTACTTTGGGTTTAATTTGCTTTTTCCCCCCTAGCTTCTTAAGGTAGAAGTTTAAATTATTGATTTTAGACCTTCTCTGTAAGCACTGTTTTAACTACATTTCATAAATTCTGACATTATGTTTTCATTACCATTTGATTCAAAATATTCTCAGATTTTCTTGTAATTTAGTTTTGATCAATGACTTTTCTAGAAATGTGTTAATTCCCAAACATTTGGAGATTTTCTAGTTATCTTTGAGTTGTTGATTTTTAATTTTGTTATGTTTAGAGAACTCATTGTGTATAATTTCAATCCTTTTAAATGTTTTATGGCCCAGAATTATGGTCTATCTTGGTAAATACTTGTGTATTTGAAAAGAATGTATATTCTGTTATTTTGGGGAATATTATTCTATAAATGACAGGTTGAACTGGTTGATTGTTTTTCAAGTCTTTTATATATTTACTGATCTCTTTTTTTTTTGGTCTTTATTCTCTGAGAGATGATTGTTGTAATCTCCAGTTATAATTAAGTTTTGTCTACTTCTCTTTAATTCTATCAGATTTGCTTCATGCATTTTGAAGCTCTATAATTATGTGCAAATATACTTAGGATTGTGCCGTCTTTTTAATGAACTGGTTATTTTATTGTTATAAAATCTTTCTCTATCTCTGAAAATGCTCCTGTCCTAAAGTTGCTACTATTCCTGACATAAAATGTAGAGTGCTGAGATTTATTGGCGCAGGTAGTTACTATTGGGTCAACTTGATCCTGTTGAGGCTTTTTAAAATGTTTGTTAGGGTGGTTATAAAGTAGTCTTTACTTAAGGACAGTCATTTCAAACTTTTCGGTCTCATGACCCCCTTAAGCTTTGAAAAGTTATTGGAGATTCCTCAAAAAATTAAAAATGGAACTAAACCCTATGACCCAGCAATTCCACCTTTGGGTATTTATCCAAAGAAATAAAAGACACTAATTCAAAAAAATATATGCACCCCTATGTTCATTGCAGTGTTATTTACAGTAGCCAAGCTATGGAAGCAACCTAGGTGTCCATCCATAGACGAACAGATAATGAATATGTGTGTGTGTGTGTGTGTGTGTGTGTCACCAGTGGGACATCCTTAGCGCTGCCACGGAGGCGGGAGAGGCTCCCCCCACCGCCTCTGTGCTCACCAGTGCTGGCTTCTGGCTGAGCGGCGCTTCCCCTGTGGGAGTGCACTGACCACCAGGGGGCAGCTCCTGCG